CGTGGTTGAAGTGTTTCCTTCCGGAGCTGTGGAAGTTTCTACTGAAGATGACTCTCGTACATTTAGAGTCAATGGTCAGCGGTTGAAATTGTATGTGGGCATGAACGAGCCTAAGGAGATGACCGAGCTGCATTTGAATGAACCCCAGAGGTCGAGCGAACCTTAATTTCGCTCACATGAGTCGTGCCGCGACGTTAAATCAGGCGCTACATGGGAGGCAACCCATGACATTGTTGTAATTGTAACCTTTGTAATCTAATAAAAAAAAACACGGGGCGTTAGAATCAGAGAGGGGCTTCGACCGCGGTTCCACCGCGGTGAAACCGCGGTCAAAAGGCCTCGCGGAAACTCACTGCCGCGGTTCTACCGCGACCGCGGCAGAACCGCGGCAGATACAGACGCGGCCAAGTAAGTTTTTTTTTTTAATTTTAATTTTTCTCTTCTTTTTTTAAAACACACAAAACACCCCCCCCCCCCCATCTAATACCCAAAATCATCCGCCCCAACACCCATTCCCTTCTTTCTCTCTCTCTCTTCAACATAAACTCTCTAAAAATTTTCTTCTTCTTCTCCAACAACCCCCCTCCCCCAATCCTTCCTCCCCAAGCTCCATTCACCCACCCCCATTTTCTCTCCATCTTCAACTCAAGTAAGTCCTCTTCTCTCTCTCTATTTCTTTCTCTTCTAAGTAGTATAAAGTGCTAGATTAGTAATTTTATTTAAACCCTAGTTAGGATTAGTGTATTAATTTGCATATTTTTTAATTTTGTTTGTTAACTTGTATGCTTGCCATTGTTGTAGTTGTTGTAGTTGGTGTGATTAGGTTGTTTGGTGCCAACTTAATTGGGTCTCCATCGTTAATTAATTGTGAAGTTGTTTTGGTGATTTGGAGGCCTAAATTTAGATTTTTGTGATATATTATGTATTGGGTCATGTGGTGGCCGAAAAAAAAAATTGTGGCACTAAGTTGTATATTTTTGAGGTGCTTAAGCCTACCTAGGGTTGAGATGTTGTAGTTGATGGTGGTTGTTATGTGGTTGATGATGGTGGTTGTTGTGTGGTTGAGATGTTGTAGTTGATGGTGGTTGTTGTGTAGTTGAGATGTTGTTGTTGCTAGTTGTTGTTGTGTAGTTGCTTGTTGGTTTGTTGATAGTTGTTGTAGATTAGTTTTGTTGGTATGGTGATATTTGTTGGAGAGTGGTATTTGTTATTTGGTGGTGTTGTATGTCATGGGTACCATTGAATGGAATAAGTGTGGGGTGTATTATACCGGACGTGGTAAGAAAATTATGGAGCTATTGTGGGGGTTGTTATGAGTGAAGTCAGGAGCTATATTTGGTGTCATTGGGTGGTGAAGTCTGAGTAACCACCTTATTGGCACTAGCTAGGGCATATGTTGATGGTTTGTTTGATTATTTGCAGGTCCAATGGCTCCCAAAAGGCACAGGCGCTCTGGAGGCACATCCCAACGACCTGCGTACGATGAATCCAGATTCCAATCGGAACTGGCAGAGGACGATTTCAACTCTAAGGCTACCAAAACTTTTATCCCTGAAATCCCGATTGATCGGGCAGCCCTCCGAGCCGAAAAAGTGGAGATGTATGAGGAGATACGGAGGCGGGAAATGGAGTTCTTATTTGCTGACCCTGCACCAGTTAACAAGATGCTGGTTCGTGAATTTTATGCCAATTGCCCATTGAACTTGGGTAGGGAGGTGATTGTTCGGGGTATGGTGGTCAGTGCTCAAATTCAAACAATTCGCCGGGTGTTGCGGCTGCCTCCGTTCACCAGTGATGTCGACTATTACCATGACAGGCCCGGGGTGACATGGGAGGTCATGACGGATGTACTTTGCACAGGGGGGCAGCCCATATGGATACGTGACCAAATAACCCTCAACTCTAACTCCTTCACTCACCTGGCCAAGTGTTGGTTGACTGTTATCTGTAGCAGGTTCCTGCCTTCTAGCAATACCACGGACGTGAACTTCAATAGGGCACTGTTGACTTGGTGCTTTGTGACAGGGAAGGATTTTGATGCGGCACGGGTAATTGGAGATGAAATGGTCTTACGGGGCCCGCTGCTGACAAAGGGATTCTATTTCCCTTCCTTGGTGACCACATTGTGCTTGATGAGAAACACCCCTACCAACCCTGTTGATGGCGATTTGCCTCCCAAAGCAGCTTTCAAAGCTTCTAGCATCAGAGTGGGCAGGGGCACCCGCACTACAATTGAGATTGATGATGAGGAGGATGATCCGGTCCCTGTTGCACCGTCCAGGAGGTCTGTTGACAGTGCCGGGCCCTCTCGGCGCCCCCATTCTGGAGCAGACCTATCACGCTCACAGTCCTCCCGGCCTATGCTGCGCTCCTTGGAGGAAGAGGTCGCGGATCTCCGCACCTCGGTGGATGGTCTACACACACGGATGGACGCCATGTCACAGAGGCAGGCTAGATCTGAGAGCCGGTTTATGGCTTGGCTACGCGCATTGGGGAGGGCCTGCCATGTAGACCCCAGCACCGTCTCCGACTCGGATTGAGTCTCAGGGAAGTCTTCTCACTCTTCTGTTCTTTACTGTATTGATATGACATGGGGACATGCCATGATTTTAAGTGTGGGGTGGGAGACTTGCTCTAACTGCGTATTGAAATGTATATAGCTGTTGTTGTGTGGTAGCAGTAGATGTGGTGTACATATGTGAGTAAGTTATATTAGGAATAGCTGACTTGGCCCAACGACGGACACTTGTTGACGGGTCTCTTGAGGGTCAAAGTCAAATATATATATAATAAAAAAAAAAAAATAAATAAAAATAAAAAACTTGTAGAGGACTCTCCCTGATGACGGACTATGTGGACAGTACTCTTGAGGGAAGTAGTCCATGCAGAATTTTTTTATTTTATTTTCTTCTTTTAGGTAGTGTAGTACCTCCCCCTTGGTTTTTCTTTTGACCACGGTTCTTTTCCAAGGGTTTTTCTTGAACCGGGTTAGGTAGATTTTTCTTTTATAGTTTTAGGATTAAATGGGTGAAGGTCAGAATGTAAACCCAAATGTGCACACTTGCAAAGAAAACGAACTGAGGGTGTAAGGTCTAAGCTTGTTTGTGGACTCATAATATATGCCTTAATTTTGCACATCTTGTCTGGCTTGAACACTCGTATGATTGTGTTGATGAACTGATTCGGAATGAGTTACATGCTAAGTGTGTGTGAGTTGTTACTTGCATCCTATGCCTGCATATGATACCTAGAATTTGCCCTGTGTGTTTGCAAAGCGAAATAGAAGTCGTTTGGTCTTAGAGATGATTGAGGCATTTCTTTGTGCAACCCTTTATACTTGAGAATCAACCTGTGCATACTATCATAGTTAACCCCTTTGAGCCTGAAGCCTGTTCTTTGATAACCCTATAATAATCTAAATCGTTGTGTTTGAATAAGCTCATGAGATTGAGGCTTTTCCCATTCTCTCTTCGGGGTAAAGCGTTGGATTGGTTAGAAAGGCTCCCCAATCATTCTATCACCACATGGGATGAATTGGCGGACAAATTTATTGCCAAGTTCTTTTCTCCAAGTCATATGGCGGCTCTTCGGGATGAGATTCTAGCTTTCAAGCAAATGCCAACGGAACCTTTGCACAAGATATGGGAAAGATATAGAACAATGGTGAAGGAGTGCCCTAATAACGACATGACCGAGGCGATGATACAACAAACTTTTTATCGGGGCATCAACACCACGAATCAGTGCATTGTGAACCAATTAGCCGGAGGGAACTTTATGAAACTTTCTTACCAAGAGGCATGTCATGTACTTGATGAAATGGCCGACACCTCTTCGGCATGGCAAAGCCGAGCAAATGTACC